TTCCCAATATCAGCATAGGCTTTGTAATCATCTAACATTTGGAGCTGGTAAGTTACCTTAAAAGCTCTTAGGTCATTAGAAGGAGCTTGAGTTGCCATAGGACTCTTCAGAAAGAATAGACCATGGAAAAACACAATGTAATTTGTAGCAGTGTTTATGTTCTTGAGAATAGCAGGCTCTACTGTTTTTGAATCATTCGGATAATAGTTTTGTGTCATTTGCAGGACAAGAAGACAGTCACTTATAAACCTGGCCTCATGGTGAGCTCCCGGCTACTTAAAGAAGAAATTAGTTATATCTGCACCCAGGAAGTAAGCCAGAGCTGGCAAAGATACTTGTAGTCTTCTCTTTGGAAAGTGTTTCTCTGAAGTGCTGTAGTGCAAAATTTTTTAGTTTCAACTGCAAGTTTGTGCAAAAGAGTACCTGGTCTAAATGCATCCTGAGACCATTCAAATTTGACAATTCTTTCAAGTTTATTAACTTCTCTATGTATTTGCGGCTATAGCTTCTGAAGTAAAACTCGCCTCCCCAAAGCATGAACAATAACATTTCTTATAGCTCTATTGTTCTTTTGTGTGTTGCTAGCTGTGGTGTCAGCACACACCCCAATAATTTGATCAGATAGCTCATAGTATTCGAGGATACTTTGAATGGCTACAGCTTGGTTGCTTTCCTAGGTGCTTTTAATTTTCAAAATACCAAGCAGAAAATCTAAAGGGTCAGCTTCAGGAGAAAAAACGCTTATAGCTATCCTTTCATGGAAATGGCTTCTTCACTGGTGTACTGCCTTACAATTTTAGTATCAAAGTGAATCACTAGCTTTAAATCTCTTACTTTGTCCATGTTCTGCTCTCGGATGATCTGGGCTTCTGACTCTACTACAGTGTGTACTTTCCTAGACAGAGTTGATCTTGAGATCTTCAACTGCTCAATGTTAATACCGCCAGCTTTATAAAGAGATGTCAATAAACAGGTTCCTGGTCGAATATAAATACCATATCTTGTCATGATTAGGATCCAATTGTTTAGGAGTCCATCCATACTAAGCAGAAGACTAACTTTTACTTCCCCTGAAATCTTTTGGATCTTTGTAGGAGGCATAAAAGCTTCGTCAGAGTCTGAAAGGCTATCACTGTCTGTGTACCAGGAAACTTCAAATTCTCTTTGTTCTAGTTCTTCTACCTTTCTTTTATTCTTTTTTTCTTGATTTCTGAGCTTTTTATCTTGTGAGCCCATTTTTTCTTCCATTATTCTTATTTTCTCCACAGTCAAACAAGCATTTTTTTGAAATGTGCTATCAATACCCGCCATCTTGACTATGCGTCCTTTGAGACAGTGCTTTAGAAATTCAATGTCCTCTTTTTGAGCCTCTTTGTTCCTCAATGGATCACTCTTTATCAAGCTATAGATGTTAACCTTATGAATTGGGAATAAAAAGTTGCTTTCATTTAGAAAGTTGTTTACTTTCTTGCAGTAGCTTCCTTCTGGTAGAGTCTTGAGTCTTTTTAAGGATTGATACTTCTTGATCTTGTTGGTAATTTTGTTTCTGATTTGCTGCTCTGTGAGTATAGAATTGTTGTCGAATCCAGCTTTGCCCCACAAGTTTACTAGTTCTCTCAAACACCTCTGATTGTCTGTCGCCAATTCTCTTCACACATTCCTTCAGCTAACTTGCTGTATTTCAAATAACTTTTTCCAGAAGCAAGGGCACATCCAACTTTACAGTTCATTTTGGTAGTGTTAAGAAAATATCAAATAGTTAAGTAAAAATAAACAGATAAAATTCAGAAATTTTTCAGACGTTATCTAGTTTTTTTTCTAATGTTGAGCCAGTAAAACCTTCTGAGCAATTCTCCATTCGTTGGAAGTTGATTTGGTGCAAAGCTTTGCAGTGGAAATACTAACAAATAAAACTGTCTACGCTTTCTTGCAGCCTGTCGCAAATCTTCAGCTGGCTCTAGTATTGTATTGTGGCATTTTTTACCTGAAGGCATTGTCTGAAAATATAGCTAGTAGTACAGTTTATAAATTTATAATATAAAATATAGCTTACAGTACAGTAGTTTGTTTCGTAACATCAAATAATACTGTTACACTAAATTAATGTATTAAATAATACTTTTTTTGCCAAGCAAAAAAAAATGCGTATCATATATAGCATACACGTGTTGTTTTTTTATTATAATTATTTACACTATTGAAATTATTTGAAAAAAGTCGCTTAACAATCAGTGCCGGTTTAACGACTGGACACACTGGAAACGTGCCGGGAGGCCACTCAAGGGGCTAGTTCAAGGGGCTAGAGCATTTAAGTGAATATTTGAGAGAGATATAATTTGAAAGAAAAATTATTATCGGCCTCTATCCTTGACTTCCTCTCATGTTCCAGAGATTTTTAATCTTTGAATAACAGCCCAACATTTGATAACTCATGGAAACAAAGGAGAAGATTGATCTCATACTTATCTAAAAAGATTTGCAAAGAACTCATTCACTTAATAGCCTCCGAAGTTATGGAATTCATAGGTAATATGATCATCCTTAAGTAACGGTTATCGTTGATTCTACTCCCTATGTACAAAACAGAAATCCAGTTGAGCGTCTCTTAGCATTTATTCCCATGCATAATCATTTTGCAACTTCCAAAACGTTTTGATAACGTTTTTAAAAAGTTAGATTAGTATACGATCAACATTCAAAATGGCTGTGGCCAGTCATACGACAATGCCAGTAAAATGTCTGGTATCTACATTGGTTTATAAGCAAGAATTAAAGACATCAACGTTCTCGTCAAATAGATTCCGTGTGCTACTCACTATTTGAACATTGTAGGAGTGAGTGCCGCGGAATCCAATGGAGCTGCTATTAATTTCTTTAGCTTTCTTCAAAAAATTTGTAACTTCTTTTCTGCATCAACGCATCGAAGTCTTAAAGGAAAAGTTCTTTGCATTAACGCATCAACGCATCTTAAAGTCAAAGTTCCTTGCTGGAATACGTGTTAAGGTTCCCTAGACTCTCTCACAAACTCGTTAGTTAGCTCAAGTTGATGCTTATTTACAAGATGATTAAGAATTATTTCAAAAATCGAATAAAAACATCTAATTTGTAGTTGTGCACACTTATTAACAAATATTTTCTATATTAACTACTTGATATTAACGACAATCAAAAATCAAAATCAAGAGGCCTTTTGACTTTTGACCAAAATGGAACAACTTCAGACAGCTATTTTAATAATCATTCGGAACAGAATCATGGAATGGTTAACAAAGTTAACAAGAAACTGTAATTCGTAAAGCTTGATTTAAGTATAGTTGAAGAACTTTACAACTCCCTGGAGCGTTACGTGCAGCAAGTTCAAAACGGTCTATGTTCATAGGCTCAGAGAGTATGGCATTACGATGAACATGAGGCATAACGATGATGAAATTAACAGTGAGGAAACTAAAGTGTTTTTAGGGCGATTTTAAATGATTGCAGACGTTAATGAGATCACAGACAAACTAATGAGTGATATAGATGAAAAAAAGAAAATCTGTTCTGAAATGAACTCTCTGTTTGATTTTCTTGTGAATCTCCGCAGCATGGATATCTTGGAGATTACTTGCAGTGCACAGCAACTTGTTAACCGATATCCTACTGATCTTAACTTTCACTTATTGAACAAATGTCTTCTTTTTGGAGCTTTTTTCAGTCTTTTAGATTTTTCTTTTGTTTAAATAGAAAACCGGGTATTGGATTCCATCGACCTAAAATCAGCATTTGCAAGCATAAAATGCAGACGAAAGGTATTTTAAAACCTATACTAATCACGACGTGTTTTTAATAATAAATAACGTGAGAAGCTTGTTTAAATACAAAAGAAAATACATTATAAAGCCATAGCGCAACAATTACAAAGATTTCTTTATTTTAAACAACTGTTAAATTTGAATGCTAGGAGGCCAACAGGGGCCAGAAAGCCTGAAGTGCCGGGAGGCCACGAAGTACTTAACCCGGGCCTGTTAACAAATGAAAAATAAACTTTAATGAAATGAAACTTTATATTATTTAAGAACTTTCGTATGTCCGCGCGCAATTTTAATGTTTTTGAGAATTAGCAAACAAATCTTTTTTTTTTTTAACGTCATTAAAATCATTAAATATATTATTTTTTAGTTTTTTAATAATTTTTGTTATGCATTATAAATAAAAATGTGCGAGTAACTAAAAAATAATTTTATTAATAATATTATTAAAACATTTGCATAAATAAAAAGTTGTGTTTGCTAAATTCTCCTAACATTAAAAAAGTTATTACAAAATGATGAATTCGCAATATAATATTCTAATCTATAGAAATTGACTAAAACCACCTTCTTTACCTTGAGTTGATTTGAAAGGCTGAAATTTTCACTATAAGCTACTAATACATAATTTTCACTATAAGCTACTAATACATAAACAACACATGACATGACAACGAATGAACTTTTCCACATTTTGATTTTCGAAAAAAAAAAATTTTTGAAACACCCTAATATATAGTTATAATATTAGTTTTATATATATATATATATATATATATATATATATATATATATATATATATATATATATATATATATATATATATATATATATATAACCTTTAGTACTCTTTAGTCGGTAAGCAGTTGGTGAAACCAAAAGCTCCTCACGCTCATGAATAAAAGTTATTCATAAGCGTGCGAGTATTATAATATTAATGAATAGAAGAAAACTATAAAAAAAATAACTCAAAAAAACTGTATTACGACTAAAATTGTAAAATTGCTTAAAGAAAAACTTTTTGTTAAAGAAAACCTTTTTGTTAATAATTAGCAACTAGATTTTTCTCTTTCAGTGAAATTTCATTTTCAATCAAAAAAAAATCTTTATAGTAATAGTTAAAATTTAATTTACGAAGTTTTTTTTCATTTTAAAATTTAAATAAATTGACAGTAGATTTTATTTTCAATTTTTTATTATTAAAAAATTAGATAACCAATGAAAAGATTGAAGAATTTTTTCTTAACAAGTATGAAGAACATTTGTTTTCAACACACCGATGCATTTAGTTATCTGAAGATGTCTTGTCTCGCATTTTAAAAGAAAACTAAAGTGACGCTTTCTCGTTCTCGCATTTTAAAAGAAAATTAAAGTGACGCAAAAGTTCGTGAAAATGTTATTTTAAAGATTAATTTTTATAGTCGCAGATTTCTTTTTATTTATGAAACATGTATACATACTGTAAACAGTTGTTAGCTTTTATTTGATAACTCAACTGTTTGCTGTATAGTCTTACCTGGTGTCTTTACTAATGTAAAAGATATCAGATTATAATTACTAAAGGATATTGCACACCTCCACTCTAGAATACCCTATCTTAACTTTTTATGCGAATATATATATATATATATATATATATATATAAATTAGTAAAAAACACTTATCTAATTTTTTCATCGACAAGCTGTTTCTCCTAGGTTCGTTCTGAAGTACTACTACTTCAGAACGAACCTACTTCTGTACTTTTTACTTTTTTTTTTTTTTTTTTTTTTAATATTAGTTTGGCAGTTTTTTTTTAAGTAATTGCAAAAATAATCATTATCATGATCATCACGGTGTTAATTTTTGTTCAAAAATCTCCCGGTTTGCGCGTGTTTTCACACTTTATAAGAAAAAAAAAGCATATCATTGGTTTATGTACCAATCCTACCATGTTTATGTCCTACCATTGGTTTATGTACCAATCCTACCATGTTTATGTCCTACCATTTTTTTAAAATTAAATCTTGAGATTATACTCTCACATTGATAATTTTAAATATTTGCAGAAAAAATTTGAAATCAAGGTTTTTAATAATCTGATACCTTGTATCAGATTACTATAACCTCATACCAAGTATATCTGATACAATTTATCAAATGTTTATTAACTTTGAAAAACAAACTAAAAATTGTTTTTGTTTTTTAACATGCAACATATAAATGGGTATTAATGAATATTAATGAGGGAAACACAGTTTTTTATGATTTACACTAACATTGGTATGAAAATTTTTTAATATAAAACATTTAAATCTGTAAAAATAGAAAATATGTGAACACTTCAATTCATTACATAATGTAACACTTCAGTTCATTACATAATGTAACACTTCAGTTCATTACATAATGTAACATTTTATTCAAATAGTCGTTTGAAACTAATTAATTAGGAATTATCCTAAAATACTTTTTTGTAGCTGTTTATACTTTTTTATTCACAGTAGTACCAGTCTTTACATTCCTGGAAGTCTTTCATTAATAAATGTTGTAATCAATAATAAACTTCAATAATAAAAATTTATATCAATTTAATAATAACTTAATAATATGTAACCAAGTAAAAAATTTATCCTTCATAAAATTATTTAATGAAGTTACAATACAAGTATACAAAAAAAAAAGCAAAATAAAATCCAGACAATTTTAAAATTAAATGGACATAATTTTGAAATTCATGAATACGTATAAAACATACAAAAAAATAAAACAAAAATATGAAAATAAAATAAAAGTTGATATAAACAATTATGAAGATCTAATAATAAAAAGATAAAATTTGGAACTTCAAAAACTTTCAAACTGTTCTTTTTTTTTTTTTTCTCACGAAGCCTGCTTACCTTACTTTCTCACAAAGGCTGCTTACCTCAGCCAAATAAAATAAAAAGTAATATTAAGTGTGTTTAAATTAGGGCTGTACCGAATTTCGGCTCCGGCCCAAATCCGGCATAATTTTGGCCGGATTTCTGAATTTTGGTCAGATATTTATTACATCTTTCTTGCCCGTGATAACATGTATACCTAATATTTGATTTTTACAAATCAATGTTTTTAGTAATTCTATAGTCTCTGAACTTTATGCTTGTTTTGGTATCTGTATTTACATTTCTTTACAATTTAATTAGCTAAGCCTAATTTCAAACAACAACGCAACAAAAAATTCTGAAGAGAAGAGACACGATATTCTGCAATAATGCAGGTGTAAAGACTATGAAGTCAATCCTAATCAAGTCATTGGATAAGCGTTTTAAAGGCATTTAGGAGAAACCTTTTTATATAGTGGTGACACTAGTTGATCCATAATTTCAAACTAAACTCATCTCATTACAGGCAACACTTATGATGGTGGTAAAACAGATAATATGATCAACACATGCGGTGTTCCCCAGGGATCAATTCTAGGGCCCCTTTTGTTTCTAATTTATGTCAATGACTTGTATAAATTTTCTAATATTTTAAACACAATTTTATTCGCCGATGACACTAATTTATTTTATTCTCATAAAGACATTAATATTTTATTCTTAATAGTTAACAAAGTAATTGATAAAGTAACCTAATGGTTTAAATCCAATAAATTATCCTTAAACATTGCTAAAACCAAATGCACATTATTCCATCGTGTTCCTAAAAAAGAAAATATTCCATTGAAACTTCCAATTCTTTTTATTGATAAAAATATAATAAAAAGGGAAATGTCTCTAAAATTTTTAGGCGTAATTCTCGATAAAAATATTACGTGGAGAGAACATGTAAGTGTAACTGAGAATAAATTTTCTAAAAATATTGGAATACTGTATAAAGCTAAACAGTTCTTAAACCAATCTTGTCTTAAATACATATACTATTCATTTATACACTGTTACCTAAACTATGTAGACTATGCTAACATTGCTTGGTGCAGCACCAATGTTACAAAACTAAGTAAACTTCTCTACAAACAAAAACATGCCATTAGGATTATTATAAATGAAAATCGCTTCTCTCATACAAAAATACTTTTTAGCAAACTTAATATTTTAAATGTTTTTAAATTAAATCTCTATCATATTCTTATATTTATGTTTAAACTTGATAAAAAAAATGGCACCACTTTTATTCAACTTTTTATTTAAAAAAATAAATCATATATACAGCAATTTATAATAATAACTATACTCAATCCAAAACCTATTATTCTGCCACCAAATACTCAATCACAAACCGAGTCCTAAATTATGGAATACACTTTTAAATAAAGATCTTAAAACACTTTCTTCACTTAATTAATTTAAAACTAAACTTAAGCAAAATCTTTTACTAAACGACAATGAGCTAAATTTCTTCTAAAGCGTTTAAATGAGAGTACTATTATTAATAATTTTTTGCATAACAATTATGTTTAACAATTTAATTTTAATAATAGTTTATTACTAAGATTATTTATTCAGATCCATAAATATGATGAATAATATTACTGGCTTTTTTTTTTTGTTTTGTCTTTTTTGTTTGTTTTTTCTTCTTTTTTGCTGGTCTTTTTTTTTGGTTTGTTATTTTATTCCCTATTTAAAATATATTTTTAGTAAACTTTAACGGTAAAAAAAAAAAATTTAAAAGATATGTAACTTACATTATTCCGGTTTTTATAAGCATTGAAACTTACGGTGTATTTATAACGGAGCTTAGTGATAAGACAACTACAGTCTTCATTTTGCCCCGGTCATATTTTATTTTTGTTCATGGCCTACTATAATTACACGGCCGGATATCTTGCTTTTCTGAGCGAAAATTAAAAGGGTAACTTTAAGACTTTCTTAAGCGTCTTTTAAAATTGTTTATTTAAATATTCATAATATGATTAATACATGTGTTGTAGTTTATTGTAAAACTGGATATAAAAAGAGAGAAAAAGCATTCACTTTTTGGATTTCAGGAAAATAATCCTGGCTTATTTAAACAGTGGGTAGCATTTGTCAATCGAAAGTTATAGAAGCCCAGTAAAGAATTCGGCTATTTGTGCTAAACATTTTGAAGATGACTATTTAAAAATTGGCAAAAGACTAACATTAGTTTAGGATTGAAATCCTGTTCCAACTATTTATTGCTTAACTGAAAAAATACCACCATCAGTATATCAATTTACTGAATTCTAAAGGTATATTCCCTGCTTTTCATTTTAATCAGTTTCATGATGTTATTGATGTACATACTGGTGAAATATCATGGAAGTTACTTCAAGATGTATATGATAAAGACCAATTATTTCAGTCAAATTTAAAAAAAAGGTTTTAAATTATTTTATAAATCACTTCATCCAGGAGATAATAAACAAAGTGTATCACTTGCTCTTGCAATATTTGATCCTTCAACTTCTGCATCTATTGAAAGTTATTTTCCAGATAGGACTGATGCCTCAAGCTTTTTAAAGTTGATAATTATATGGACCATATAGTTATCAACTTTAAAAAGCTTGAGGCATCAGTCCTATCTGGAAAATAACTTTCACCACCATATTATGGTGGACAATAAGTAACAGAAAGCAAATATATAACAACAATTTTTGTATTGGAAATGCAGCTGTTATGGGTGACATGATCCCTTTATTTTTGAGGAAACTAGCCAAATGGATTGAGAATTGGCAATTATCTCAAGTTTCAAACTCTCAAAAGTTTGTATTAAGTAAACAAACATCAGAAGCGTGAAGAACCACTTTAAGATGCACAGTTTCACTTATTTATGATTTAATTCAAGAAGGGTATCATTATTTTTTAGTATCATTCTTGCAAACTGATCCATTAGAACTAATATTTTTAAAGTGTCGTCAAATAAGTGGTGGCAGATTTTTAATTGGTTTGGGTGAGCTTGAGACATCTAAGTGCATATTAGCTTTGAAAACTTTACTTAAAGAGTCAGTCAATATCTGGAAGGAAGCTGTTTGAAAAGAGTCATAATATATCTTTACTTAAATTATTTAATGATAAATAGCAAGAAATTTTACCAGATATTGAAGAATGCAGTTTAGATTCAGAGAGCTTTGAAGTTGCTACAGTTATTTCTGGTTATGTGGTTAAAAAGTTTAATAAAAAGATCAAATGTGGTGTTTGCAAAACTTTTCTATTAGCTGAATCTGTGAGCTACAATGTCAATATTTAGAAAAACTTTCTCGTGGTGGATTGATTTTACCAGCTATTGATCTTACACATTATGTTGCCAAAGCATTTGCAATATTAGATATTGGGTACTTAGATTAAATGATTGTGCTTCTTCATTCTTATGCAATGAACATCAAATAATTGGTGTAAAATTTGTAAATCGTGTTGTTGTAAATATTTATTTTAACAATGAACAGAAACACTTTTTTGATGAAATTCAAAAGAACAGTGTATAGGATTTTAAATGCAGACAAAAAAAAGATTAAAGCTGAATAAATTAAATTAATAATCAATTAAGCTGAAATGAGTTAAAGAAGCTAAATTATACAGCTTAACTATTATACTTTTAATGTATACTCTTCCTTTATTGTTAGATTTTTGTTTATCATTTTATATATCTTGTTAACATTATTGAGATTTTATTATGAGAATTATATGTGTGTGTGTATATATATATATATATATATATATATATATATACATACATATACATATACAATATGCGGTTTATCTTTAAATTAATTAAGTCATTACAAATTTAAATATTTTATTATTAATAAAATTATTACAATTTTATATTGATGAACAAAGTACAATATATTATTTTCTTATTCTTAAGTTTTTAGAAACATTATTATCAGGCAAAGGAAAATGTATAATTTTTGAGACTTAAGTTATATTTTTCCAACAAACTTTATATTATATACACACTTCTGTAAACAAAAATCCGTATAAAGATTCTAATTTTAATTGCAGTAAGTGTGGTCAATCATGCTATGCGATATATTTATGTTTTGAAAAGTTACCCTTCTAATTTTTCGCTGCGAAAAGCAAGATATCCGGCCGTGTAATTATAGTAGGCCATGTTTTGTTCATGTTTTTTGGTATTGTAATTACTCAAAGCGACGAAATATATATTGGGATCGCCTAAAAAGCCGAATTCTAAAACGCCGAAAAGCCGAAATGCCGAAAAAAATGGCGTAATAATAGATTTCGGTAACCGTCAAAAAAAACAACGAAAAGTTAAATATCCCCCGGATTTTTTATTGCGCATTTGTAAATGCAAAGTTTAAAAGGACTTCTGTCCTTTTAAACTTGGCAAAAGCCAAATTTGGCTTTTGGTTCTGTCCTTTCAAACTTTCGCGAATAAAAATAGAAAAAGAGACGAAATAAAAATTAATGTTATAAAATTATTTTGAAACTTTTTTGCTAATTTTATATTTAGTTGTGTTATCGAAAAAATTTGCCTAAAAATTATTAACTAATTAAATATTAAAATTTTTAATTAGAGTTATTCATTATGACCAGGGTGAACCATAAAGCAAGCGAATTCTCATAAATTACTGCACAAGAAAACTGTGTAAAGATAAAAACCCTTGTTGTTGTGTAAGAGAAACTACTGGTACACTACAACAATTCTAACTAAACTAGGTCCTTAAGCAGAGAACATCTTTTATGATAATATTTCTTGTTATACGAGGTTGGAAAATATTCTATGTAGGCTTCAAACTCATGTAAGAATGAATCCTTGCACACTGAGCAACATTGACAAAAGATATCTTTGAGAATCTCTACCAATAATTTGCGCCTTCTACGAATCTTTTCCCGCATTCAAAGCTTTTGTGAGCGATGTTAAACAGACCAAAACATTGAAACATCGCAAATGACAGAACAAAATATACCTTTTAGCTTTTTTGGTCTCATTAAAGAGTTAAAGACTTTTTAGAAAGAGTTTTTTAATATACCTTGTTTTAAATATATATGGGTTTGAATCACATCAATTATTTCATTAAATAGAATAAAGCCTCGTGTAATCTCTAAAATACGCGGGCAATTAATTGCAACATTTTTTTTTTCTAAGATTAAAGAGTTAATTCTTATAAATTTTAGGTCGCTGAATTCGAAAAAGTTATCAAAAAAATTCCATCATGTAAGGTTTTTATAAAAAACGCAAAATGCTGTGGGATTGTTTATTTTAGGGCGCAAAACGGGGTTTATTGCCAAAATATCTATTATTTTATTTATTAACTTATTATAAGATAATTTTATGTTTCGTAGGCTAAAACAAAATATTTAGTAACTCATGAAGATAATATTAGTAAGCGTTGAACCATATATATATCGGGATTTTCCATAGTAAGTATGGAAAATCTCGATATATACAAAACAACAATGAAATATTTCTGAATTTGTTAAAAATGTGTACTTGTGTATCTTGGTGTGAAGATAGGCAATCAGGACAAATTTTGGGCTCCGCATGGAGTTTGTTCAGGGTGCGTTGAAGAACTTAGAATGTGGTCAAAAGGTAAAGTTAAATCTTTTCGTTTTGGTGTACCCATAATCTGGAGAGAGCCTCGAAACCACAGCGATGACTGCTACTTTTGTTCGTGTTATGTGCAGGGGTATAGTACCAAAAATAAAAAATAAATTTTTTATCCAAACATGAAATCGACACTCCACCCAGTCCCTCACGGACCTGGCATTCCTACACCACAAGCACCCCAAAGTCTAGATGATTTACCATCATTAGAAAGTGAATCAGAAGAAAGTTCTTGTGACGAGTTTCAGTTAGGCGACTACAGTAGTCCTCAACATTTTTTTCAAGCTGAATTAAATAACCTGATCCGAGATTTAGGACTCTCAAAACAATCTGCTATTCAAAACATATCTGCAAAATAAATATTTTGAGCCCTTATTTTCCTCAATATGGTGAGATGGTCTATTGTTCCGATAACAATGGGTTAATATCCATGTTCAAAGTTCAACATATGGCTGAAAGTTGGAGACAGATTATTGATTCTTCAAAAAGAAGAATAAAAGCTTTTTTACTTCACAACAAGAATAAGTACGCATCAATACCCGTTGGTCACTCAGTGCATTTGAAGGCAACTTATTGTAACTTGGCATTGATCTTGGATTAATTAAAGTACAAAGAATTCGAGTGGACAGTTTGTGGGGATCTTAAAGTAATTTCTATGATACTTGGATAGCAAGGTGGTTACAAAAAATTACCCTTTTTTCTTTGTTAATGGGATAGTCGTGCTAAAACTAAACACTGGAAGCAAAAAGTGTGGCCAAAAAGAGCATTGAAGATCGGAGATGAAAACGTGCACTTTGAATCTTTGGTTGATCCTAAAAAGGTCCTTCTACCACCACTCCATATCAAACTTGGCATGATGAAGCAGTTTGTGAAGGCATTGCTAAAAGATGGTGAGACATTTAAATTTTTTTCAAGCAAGTTTCCTGGTCTGTCTGAAGCAAAGCTGAAAGAGGGAGCTTTTGTTGGTCCTGACATTCGTGAGCTAATGAAAGATAACAACTTTGAAAATATGGTGAACTATGTTGAGAGGTCAGCATGGAATTCTTTTAAAGACGTAGTAACAAATTTTCTAGGGAATCAGAAAGACTTGGACTTAAAAAATATCGTAGAAAATATGTTGTGCAATTCTAAAAATCTGGGATGCTCAATGAGTTCAAAACTCCATTTTTTGAACTCCCATTTGGATTACTTCCCGGAAAATCTTGGTGCAGTTAGTCAAGAGCAAGGTGAGAGGTTTCACCAAGATATAAAAGAAATGGAGAGAAGGCATCAAGGTCGATGGGATACAAATATGATGGGCGACTACTGCTGGATGCTGCATAGGGAAAATGTAACATCCCACAAAAGAAAAAGCTCTAAACGAAGCTTCGAAACTAAAAAAATTAGATTTTATAAAGCTTTATAGTTGTATATAATGTATACAAATTATTTTATGATTTAAAATGAACCAAATTTGCATAGTTTACCATTTTTTTTCTTCTTATGATTATTGTCTAAAATAGTAGTGTAAGGCGGGCTTTGCCCATATTTTATTTTCGACTTAGCGGAAAATCCTTACGTAATGGGTCGAAATGGATGGTATTATTGAAATCAGCATACCAATATACATATAATTCACCCATTCCAAAAAAAAAAAAGTTTTAATTTGCAGACCTGTGTAATTAATAAATATATTTTAAAGCTCCATTATTTATAAAAACTTAAAAATTTTAGTAGTAATAGCAAATATAAAATGCAAATTAAAAAAATATTGGCGGTACCCACATAGACCGTAATAAATTTTTAAATGTTAAAACTTTTTTTTAAAAGTTAGTTATTAGAGAAATAATTATTTAGCACCAATACTGTTACTTTCTAAATTAATTGATGATGTCAAGTGTAGGAATAAAAAAAGAGTTTTTTTAAAATTACAAATAAAAACGTTTTTTCATATTTTGGAGCACTGCTAAATAATATATGACAAAAACGAATAAAATGCAAAAGAGTAAGAAAACCCAATTTGCTATGTGAAACATAATTTTTAATTTTGGAACTGAAAAACTGATATTGTTACATTAACTATGCACAACATCCTGTGCTAAACACAACCAGCCATATAATAAAGGCTACCATTCACCTGATTATTTACAAACTAATTGTCTTTTTTTAATTAATCACATATATAAGTAATTTCATCTTTTATCAGGTCGATCGTGCAACGATCTTTATGCTAGAGCAACGACAATCAGTTTCTTCAATGAATTCATGTTTGCTGAGTAATTTCAACCGTTGAAGACTAAAACTGTTCATTACTCGTTTTGCTGATATAACATAATTATCGCCATTTAGTATCTACAGATAAATAAATATTTCATAATATTTAATAATAAGGCTAAATAAATTGGATTGAATATGAAGTGATTGAGTTTTAAAAAAATTTGAAACAGCAATTGTCAAATAAAAATCACTGCCAAATTTATGCCATATAAATTAACACTTTTGAATAAATGAGTAAAAAGTCCTCTTAAGTAATGTTTTTATTTCACCCACCCACAGTATATATAAAATAAGAAAAGTATTGGGTTGTCTATATTTTAAAAATGACAAATATCTTATGTACCAGCAACAAAAAAAGTATATAACCTGTCAATGCCAAATTCACTTTTAAGAGTTTTTGAAAGATGCCAGGAAGAAAGGATTGGTAATCTTCTGAAATTGATTTTTCTTATTACTTCTTGTAGTATATAGACTAAAGCCAGATTAGTTTGTGAAAAGTACTGTAACGTCTAATTTCCTTGCCCTCTCACATTTTAGAAGCTACATCAGCATACACTAAAATACATTTTAAAAAATAATTTATTTTTTAGAATTTATCAATAAAAAAGAAAAACCTTATAAGCTGTTTACCTGAAACATGGGTCAATGAGACTTTTATATATTGGCATACAAGCTGGTTGCCAGTGTTTTTACATACACCCATATTCAAAGTTAATTTTTGATATCATTTGAAATAGATGTCAACCTATATCGCAATTTTCGGGTGTCTATGTTACATAAATCTATCTATGTTAAAGAAGTTTTACATAACATGAAAATATATAACAATATATAACTATTTTATGAAAATTTGTATTATGATGCAAAACAAAACAATACCAATTATACCAGATTTATTGATAAAAAAAGCAACAACTTTAAAAACATTTTCTTTTCTACTATTACTAAAAGTATTTAAAACTAAATACTATATGAAAACAAATGGGTATAAAAAAATATCTTACACAAGGAAAATTTTAACTAAAACTTCTTTCAAATTATTCGCAAACTCACTGTAAGTGTTTCAAAAGCTATATATAAATAACAGAAATTACTCTAATAAATAAAAAAACACAACTTTTTTATTATAAAACATAAATATATCGTGTTAGTTAAAAATATGTCTTAGTGATTAAACCATTTCCTAATGCACAACTTTTTTTGTTCCTCCACATATAGCCATCTGCTCGCAAATGCTTTTTTAATGTTTTGTCACTGGAAATTGTAAACCCATAAATTTCTCCTGCTTTGGGACGAACAGGTATAGTTTCTTCTCCATTATTAAAATAAGTAGCATTTTGTAATAGAGTCAGAACTTCATTAAAGGTAAGTGTCTCTGTTTTTTTAGTTATGGCAGGAGTTGCTGCAGTTATGTTCAAAGTTGCTTTTGAATTTTTTGATGTCACAGATTTTTCTGATGTCATGGAAAGTGGAATAAAAACTTTGTCAGAAGTTTCATTATGCATATTAACCTCAATTACATTTTGATCTTTAAGGCTTGCATTTTTATTTAAATAAGCTGTTGATGTTTTATCATTGATTGTATTAGAATAAGATTGATCAACAGGTATTATTTGCAATGCATAGTTGTGGTCATTTTGAAACACAAATAGAAATTGGTGTCTGAAACTTTCTAAATGTTGAAGGGAATATTTCTGCTCATAAAACAAAGATCTTTCTTGTTGGTTGGCCATAAATTTGAATTTTGAGAAAGAAATGTTCTTTTTCATAATTTTCAATTTTGAGATTCATTCAAAGATACAAAATATAATTCAGAAAAAAATTGGTAATTTTTTTTGTTGATAAATTTAAGTAAAAAAATAACAATAAAGGTAATAAAAATAATATTAAATACTTAGTAAAAACAAATACACATTAAAGGCATACATAAATTAAATTGTTATGGTAAAAACTGTCATATTTATTTGGGAAAATTTTTGTAAATGTTCTAATCTATCTAAAAATTATCATCTACATCTTAAAAATTTAATAAAACCTACATCTTATTATGATTTCCAAAAAAACATAAAAAAAGTTTACACTATTCTATTAGCTTCATATTAAAATTGATTAAGATATAGGTCAATTTATTTTATCTTTTCTCAGAAAACTACATTCTAATTAACAATTTAAAAACATTGCCATAATCTTATCAACTCCAGATTAAATTTATTTAAAAACATAAATAAAAACTTGTATGTGTAACAAGTGAAGACTTTGCAATGTTATGCAAAAATAGTGTCACAATTCAGAGAACTAATGAAAGTTTTGCATTCTAAGAAAAATATTAATCCACTGGAAACTATGCGGATTAGAAATTACTTAATTTCAGAATCAAAAACTAATAAAGGAGTAGTTAAATTTCACAAATCTTTCATTTGTTTACTTGACAACTTCCAATGGCAATGTGTTCCATAAATTTTCTGTTCTGTTTATAATAAATTCATGCCTAGAAGTTTATTTTCCAATTTTAACAAATTATTAAACTTCATATACTAATTCTTTTTTTTTCTATACAGTAACAAACTCTCTTCTCACTAGACAGTTTTACAATAATAATTTGAATAGAACATACCTTTAGGTACCTTCCTTCATACACAGCACTTTGCAAAGCTCAAAGCTTCTCCCAATGCTTGCATTCCTTGTCATTTTTCTAAACATAAACAAACAAGCAAAAAAACAAATTAGAATACTTATTAAGACTTCATTAAAGTTTCTTCAACAAGCTTTATTGAATTTTGTTGCTAAACTAACTACTCTATATTTACTTTCAATAAAATAAATATGTTTAGCAATCGTTTTAGCTTATAAAAGGAAAGTATGGCTGTTAAAAGTACTTGAGGTTTGTCAAACTGATGGGTCAACCATACTATTAAAACATTAAAGTTTAATGTCTTAATATTTGTTAGCTAACACAGATTAAAGAATAATTAATCTTTAATCTGTGTTAGCTAACACAAAATAAAGAAACAAATAGAAAGAAAAACAACGAAAATTTTACTATTTCCTATTGTTGTGATAACAGATTTTTATCTTACTGTGCATGTTTAGCATTAGTGACAGGCTTTCCCCTTATTGTGCAGCTTCCGCTAAACTTACTTTATTGTTGCAGGCCACTATTATTTTGGTATACAACACATAGATGGCATAGCAATACAAAACTTATTGCTACATTATATTTTATAATTTTACATGTTTTGAATTTTATAAAATTCAAAACATTAATTTAAACTAATAATGCGGGGGTTGACTACCGGTTGTTCTTTGCTCGCATTCCGTTTTTTATTCTGTTACTCCAAGATGGTTTTTCGGCATTTCGGCTTTTCGGCGTTTTAGAATTCGGCGTTTTAGAAACTCTCATATATATTGACAGATTGACAAAACTAAAGAAAATCCAGCAAAACAATCGCGGCTGGATAATACTTTTACATTATCGTCATTACAATGGCAATATATATAGATGAAATTATTCAGTCTACGCCCGCTTGTGGGCGTAGACTGAATAATTTCAGCACATGAACAACAGTTACCAACAAGCATTGACACTCAGCTAAGCCAATATCTGGAAGAATCAGGAATATATAGACACGCTGATTCACTACAGTGGTAGAGTGACAACATCCCAGAAAAAAAGGCTCTATAGAATTTCTCTAAATTTTTGAAACATATGGCCTATAGAAACACTACAGAATTTATATAAAATGTCTATTAATTTCTATAAAAATTGCTATAAAACTTTTAAACAACAAAAATGATGTTTAATAGAAAACAACTGTCACTTGGTGATCTAAATAGTCAACATTGTTGACTATTTTCAGCACCAAGTAGGGATGTACAGGATTTTGGTTCCTGTAGTTTTGCTTCAAAATCCGGCTCCGATTCCGGCCGAATCTGAAAGTAGAAATCCGGATTTGCCGGATTTCTACTTTCAGATTCGGCCGGATTTCTACTTTCAGATTGGTTTAAGCTATGAACCTTGGTTACTTAACAGCATATTTAGAGTGTAGACTGAACTAAACGTAAAAATATTCCAGTCTATACAACATTTAGTTTTAATAGTCGCGTGAACAACTCTCACTGAAAGATTTTTGGCCAAAAATTAACGCCGTGTAATATATGAAAAATATTTCTATAAATTTTACTCATTAACACATTAATAATCATTTGCTTGCGCTGACCCCACCTCGGAATGTATAGCTTGCGCTGACCCCACCTCAGAATGTATAGCTTGCGCTGACCCGACCTCGGAATGTGTTTGCCGCGGTTCGTCCCCCAAAAAAATATTTCGTATGATAAAAGCAACTTAAACATGTTACCTATTTCTTATTCAAGACTATACTTTAATATTTACAAAAAATGCGCCATACAGTATGGCGCATTACATACGCATACGTATGTATGCGCCATACACGTGTATGGCGCATAAATACGCAGCGTGTACACGCTACAGTCATGCATACACGCTACAGCGCTTAAAAAGTAAAAACAGAAGCAACTACCCAGCTAGCACATATACGTTGTTAAAACATTAGAACAATGTCGCGCGTTTCGTTGGCCCAACATTGGCTGCCAACGTTGTTTTTATATCATTATGATTACAAATGCGACGTCGCCAACAACTAAAAACCAATGTTGATAAAACGTTTTATTAAAGTCAGAAAATGGTTACATTTTCTACATTGGTTCAACGTTTTATTTTATACGTTGGCCCAACGTTGTGTTTTAAGTTGGCACAACGTTGTATTTACGTTGAACTTTAATTGGCAAAACGTTATATTCATTACTATACGGAATTAAATTTTCATTATTTTCTATTATCTTCATATATGTATGTATATATGCATGTATGGATGTATACAGCTGAGGTATTGTGGTTTATCCTCCTCCGGCTAGTTGCCATATAGAGGCCACATTACCAAGGTACCGCAAAGACAGGTTCGGCTCCCCAAGGAGCGTCATAACCTGCTCTACGGACCAAGAGTAAAGTGAGTTTAGGAAGAACGAAGATATGTTAGAGTGAAAGACAGAAGAAATCGTGTTAGAAAGATAGCATAGAGAAAGCGGACAGGATTGCACCCGATGTTAGGATGTGCATTAAGTTGAAACAGGGACTAAAAACACAAATACTAAAAAGAAGTTTAGATGTGTTTTTTTCCGGTTGTATACAGCTGACGTAAGCATAATTATACAAAAAAAAAATTACAAACGCTTGATCGTTGGAACAAAAATCATGTTTGTGTTGATTGTGGTTTGATATTTTAATTATCACGGAAGATTTTATTTAAATTATATAATTTTGCATTAGCAATGTTTGGTCGCATACATTGGATCAACGTTGGGTTTAGATAGTAAAAACAATCAAATTTTTGCGATGTTTTTTCATACATTGAAAAAACGTTGATTTATATACATTGAATCAACGTCGAATATATATATATATATATATATATATATATATATATATATATATATATATATATATATATATATATATATATATATATATGTATATATATATATATATATATATATATATATATATATATATATATGTATATATATATATATATATATATATATATATATATATATATATATATATATATATATATATATATATATATATATATATATATATATATATATATATATATATATATATATATATATATATATATATATATATATATATATATATATATATATATATATATATATATATATATATATATATATATATATATATATATATATATATATAGATATATATATATATAGATATATATATATATATATGAGTTTGAGTTTGATATATTCAGTAATCAAATTTATACATTTAAACCGCAATAATGCTGTAACAATAATTAAAAAATATATACATATACATATGTTTATATTTAAATGTTAAATTATTTATTTGATGAAGAGACTTTTCCAGGAGTCTCTATGCTGATTTAACAGTTTATCGCATCGAAATCCGATCTTTAAATGCATTTAAAGATGGAGCGTTTACCGCGTGATGTGTGAGTGAGTTCCAATCGACCGCAACTCGGTTTGTGAAAAAGTATGATCTCTCCTCACATCCTCTTACGAATTGACAATCAAGCTGCTTGTCATAGCCGCGTAGGTTGTACACCTCACGCCCAATTAGTTGGTGCTGTGGGACCATAAATTGAACTTCGTCATAGTTGTTGAAAATCTTGAATTGTTCGATTATATCACCACGCAAACGACGTTCTTTGAGGGTGGTTAGTTTGAGTACCTGAAGACGCTTTATTTTATCAAAATGGCTGATGGATGATATTGTCTTAGTGACGCGGTCTTGAACATCCTCAAGTAACTTAATGTCTGTTTCGAGATACGGGGACCAGGCTTGAATGGCGAATTCTAGATGTGGCCGGACATAAGATATATAGAGTGTGCGCCACAAGTTTAAGTTTCTACTGCGGAAAGCATTTTTTAGCTTTCCTAACATGCGATTGGCTGCGGATGCTGCTTTTTCAACTTGTGCTCTGAATTTCAGATCGTTTGATATGAGAACTCCAAGGTCACATTCAATAGTTGTAGTTGCAATAGTGTGGCGCATGCCATCAGCGGTTTCCATAGAGTAGTAATGTGATAAACGTTTATTAGGACGACCTGCATGCATCACTTTACATTTATGAATGTTAAAGTGCATGAGCCAAGTGTTTGACCATGTAACCGCGTTATCAATATCTGCCTGAAGCGTTGTGTTATCCGATGCCGACTTTATGATCCCAATAATTTTGCTGTCATCAGCATATAGCATTATTTTGTGAACGATACTATCAGGAAGGTCGTTAATAAACAAAATAAAAAGCAGTGGCCCTAAGACAGAACCCTGCGGAACTCCACTTGTGACGTTCTTCCACTCAGAAACGTGTTCTCCCAAGACAACACGTTGCTTACGATCTTTTAGCCACATTTTAATCCAAAGTAGCAGCTTTTTGTGAATGCCGTATGCTTTCAGTTTATGTAGAAGACGTTTGTGCGGGACTTTATCGAGTGCCTTAGCAAAATCTGTGTAGATAATATCAGCACTGTAACCCTGATGCATAGCCTCGGTAAGTATGTCGCGAGCTTCGAGGAGGTTAGTCAGACATCCCTTTTTACAAATGCTGATGCTTGGAGATTAGATTGTTTTCCACACAGTGCGCCATAATATGTTTGTGAATTATTTTTTCCATTACTTTGGACGGTATTGAGGTGAGGAAGACCGGTCGATAATTGTAGGCCTTAAGCTTGCTCCCTTTCTTAAAGATGGGAGTAATGTTTGATTTTTTCCAATATTCAGGTACAGAGCCAGACAATAAAGATTGTCTAAAAATAGAGTTGAATGGTATTGCAAATGCTGCTGCACAGTTACGTAATACACGTGGGTGGATTCCATGTACACCAATTGATTTAGTCTCTTCAAGATTATTTAGATGACTTTGAATGTCTTCAATTGTGAACCAATTTTCATTAATTTTACATGTTGCTTGAGTACGATCGGGAAATGTTGGCATACTGCCATCAGGTTCAGTTTCAAAGACAGACTGAAAATAGTTATTGAGGTTGGAGCAAATTATGTTTTTATCTGTTGTAATAATGCCATTGTCAGTTTCGATTGAATGAAGAGGATCTTTGACTTCTTGTTTACTTCTGACATACGCATGCACATTTTTTGGGTGAGATTTTGAATCTTTGACAAGCTTCTCCTCATGATCGGTTACCGCCTTATTTATAGTCTTTTTAACTATTTTGCAAGCAAGTTTATGTTTTACTCGAAGTGCTTCGTGTGTTTCGCGACCAGCAGCAATATACTTACCCTAGAGCTTTTCTTTTTTTTTGATAGTTTTAAGTACTTCTGGCGTAATCCACAACGGTTGATTTTTATAGAATGGTGAGGTTGTTGTTGGAATAAATTTATTGACTGCGTCGTTGTAGTTTTTAACTAGAATCTTGTAATTTTCATGCACAGAGCTTCCATTAAAAGTTGTTATCCAATCTATAGATGATATGCATGTTGATATGGAATTGTAGTCGGCTTTGCTCCAGATGAATCGTTTTTTCATCGGAGTAGTTGTTATACTGTGCCCGGTTAAAGCAAAGAGTCCGTGTATCATGCAATGTGCTTGACCTCCTGGTGTATCGCCTAGATGATCTGCTCTAGTGATTTCTATGGAGCGGTCTGGTTTGTCAGAGATTATTAGGTCATGCGTGCTACTAAAAGGAGCATCCCTATACTGTCGATATGTTGGAAATGTAACCAGTTGGGTAAGATGACACTCATTGAGACATTCTTGGAATTTTAGATCGGTTGGGTGCTTGTGGGCTACATAAGCAATGGTTGCTACAGCACTTCCTTCTTCAATGGATTTGTAAGACGTTTCTTTAAGATTGAAATCTCCATACAGAAGCATTGATGAACACCCTAGTTTTTGAAGAACATTTTTTGCTGCTAATATGGTAGCTAAAACAGAAACAAAGTAGTCATCATTGAAGTCGTGAGGGCGATAAATACAACCAATGAGAATGACATTTTCCCCGATTTTGATCATTCGCCATATTTGTTCAATTTCAGGCGAGTTAAGTTGGACAACATTTGTTCCTTCAGCAACGACACTATCTTTGATGTAGATGGCAACACCGCCTCCTCTGCCAATTCTGTCCTTACGATGTAATTGATAACCGGCGATTGATGTATCAGAATCGTTTGTGAACCAGGTTTCAGTAAACCATATGACGTGCGGTAACAGTGATGGATCTCTGATATTAGCTAGCCTGGCAACAAGTTCATTATGTTTATCTTTATTAAGTGAGCATGGATTATTGGCCCAGTAATAAAGTATATCAGAAAAATCGATAGTTGTTGGATCTCTAAGCAAAGCTTTATTATGTTGTTGGCTGTATTGTGATCGCAAAGTTCGATTAGGTTTTGGTCGTTTAGGTTTTAATGCTTTAGTTTTTAACAATTTTCTGTCTGGCATAATTTTTTCGTCAGAATTTAGTTCATTGGAGAATAATTTTTGTTGATTTGGTATTGAGGATGGTATGATTTGGGTTAACGTAATATTACCAGGTACCTCCTTAGAGGAGCAACATGATAAATATATATATATATATATATATATATATATATATATATATATATATATATATTATATATATATATATATATATATATATATATATATATATATATATATATATATATATATATATATATATATATATATATATATATATATATATATATATATATATATATATTAAATTCTATTTTCTTTATATATATATATATATATAATATATATATATTTATATAGATATAATATATGTATTGATATATATATATATATATATACATATATATATATATATATATATATATATATATATATATATATATATATATATATATATATATATATATATATATATATATCAATACATATATTATATCTATATAAATATATATATTATATATATATATATATAAAGAAAATAGAATTTAATGAAAATTTAATTCCGAATAATATTGTATACAACGTTTTGCCAATTAAAGTTCAACGTTGAATCAACGTAAATGCAACGTTGTGCCAACTTAAAACACAACGTTGGGCCAACGTATAAAATAAAACATTGAACCAACGTAGAAAATATAACCATTTTCTGACTTTATATAAACGTTTTATCAACATTCATTTTTAGTTCTTGGCGACGTCGCATTTGAACCATAATAATATAAATACAACGTTGGCAGCCGAGTAATATAAGAAAATGTGTAAAACCGTGAAATAAAACATTAATATAACTAGAAATAAATATGAAAATCAACTTTTCATAAAGTTTATGAAAAATCCTAAAGTGTTATTTTATTACATAAACAATCAGCGAACTGTAAAGAGTTTTATCAAATAAAAAGCAATGGGTATGTAACAAATGACTTAAAAGAAGTAGGTATTTTTTACTTCACGAACAAACTTCACGAGTATTTTGTTAGTGAAGAACGAGAAGTACTTATAGATTTTAATTTAAGAAAAAATAAAAATTGTTTAGATATTTAGCATCTCACTATTACGTATGATTGAATCTGCAAAAAAAAACTTAACAACTAAAAAATTCAATCCAGATCGGTTGTGTGGAGCAGATAACAACCGTTTCTTCTTAAAAACTGTGCGGACGGCTAGGCAATACCTCTAACTCTTATTTTTTTAAAAATTATTAGAGTAGGGTTATCTACCTATTCAATGGAGATCAGCTAGTGTTACTCCAATTTTTAAAATTGGAAATAAATTACTTCCAGGAAAACATAAACCTGTCTCACTAACTTCGGTACCGTGCAAAATATTAGAAGGCATAGTAGGGGAGTCGGTTACAAAACATATGATTGAAAATAATTTTCTTTTGCCTTTTTAACATGGATTTGTGAAGAATAAGTCATCCAGCACGAATCTTCTTAAAACTTTAGATATATCTAAAGTTTCAAGATCTCATATCATAAAAATCAATTATCACTGCTTCATTGGAAGCATATAAATGTTAAAGATGATGCAAATAAAATTTATGAAAATTTTTTTAAAACATTTTATTCTATGATGCCAATTTTCCCATCTGTGAAAAAACAATAAATCAAAAAAGCTTTAATGCTCCTTGGATAACTATGGGTTTTAAAAAATCATCTAAGATCAAACAAAAGCTATATATAAATTACTTGAAAACAAAAACACCTTGAACGAAAAAGTATACAAAGATTACAAATATCTATTTATTACAAAAAACTCGTAAAAACTTAAAAAAGAATTACTACTCAAAATTAATTGAAAATGTAAAGAACGACTCTAAACGTCCTTGGAAAATATTAAGAGAAACTAGTGGAAAACAAAAAACTTGCTCAGGTTCCCTACCGCAGGTGATTAGAGTGGATAACAAAGATGTTTTTGAACCTAGAATAACAGCTCATGAGTTTAACAAATTCTTTATTGATATCGGTTCCAAACTAGCAAATAAAATTCCTAATACCCAAGTTGTGTTCAATAACTTTTTAACACCGATGACGCATTTGCTCCAATAATTTATCTTCTGAGCTATCATTTGAGGAGTTTCAAGTGTCGTTTAAATCTATTAAAAAAAAAACAAAGCCCCTGGAGCTGATGAAATAAATGGAAACATAGTCTTAGAATGCTTTGAACAACTAAAAGATATTCTCTTTAAAGTTTTCAGAGCATCAATACAACAAGGAGTATTTCCTGATAAGTTAAAAATAGGTAAGATAATCCAAATATACAAAGAAGGAGACAGAACTAATGTATGTAACTACCGACCTATTTCTATTTTATCAACATTTTCAAAAATCTTAGAAAAAATTATTTACAATAGAATGTATACTTATTTTAAGGAGAAGAATTTTTTTTATAAAAAGTTTGGATTTAAAAAAAAATAGTTCTACTGAGTATGCAATCACCCGTGAAATCTCTAACTCTTTCAAAAATTCACAATTCACTTTAGTTATTTTTTTGGATTTATCAAAAGCATTTGATACAGTATATCATAGCATTTTGATTCATAAACTTGAATGTGGATGGTGTAATTTTGAAATGGTTTAAAAGTTATTTAACAAACCGAAAATAATTTGTTTCTTTTAACGATCATTATCAAAAAAATGTTTTAGATTTTTCATGTGGTGCTGCGCAAGGACCAATTTTGTGGCCACTTGTTTTTTTAATATACATAATTTGCATAAAACTTCTAATCTTTTAAGTATTATGTTTGCGGATGATACTAATTTATTTTTATCTGATAACAATATTAATAAACTCTTCACTACTATGAATGAAGAACTCAAAATAATTTCTAGCTGGTTCAAATGCAATAAACTTACCCTAAATATAAAAAAAAAACAAAGTGGACTCTTTTTCATTAAAAATTTCACTAAAAAACGTTATTTACCCCCAACTCAACCTGATATTTTTATTGACCAAATTGAAATAAAAAAAATATATTGGTACTCAAGTTTCAAAAAATATTGGAATTCTTTATAAGGCCAGAATCTATATAAATAAAAAAGTTTTATCCCAACTTTATTATGCATTCATTCATAGCTATATGAATTATACAAATATTGCTTGGGCAAGCACTGAAAAAAATAAGTTACAATCTCTCTATCGCCGTCAGAAACATGCAATACGTGTAATTAATTTTGCTGATCGTTTTCTCACTCTTTTTATGAAATGAGAATACTTAATATTTACGAACTTAATGTTTTTAATATTTTATGCTTTGTATATATATATATATATATATATATATATATATATATATATATATATATATATATATATATATATATATGTATAAACAATCTTTCTTCTGCCGTTTTTGATAATTTAATTACTTGAAACCTACCAATAAATACTCTCTTATAAATAACAACATTCTATATGAGCCTTTTTGTCGAACAAATTTTAACCAATTTTGCATTGATTCTCGTGCACCCCATCTCTAGAACAAAATTGTTTTGCCTAATTTTAATTTAGATCTACCTACTTCTTTGCATCTTTTTAAAGTTAAGCTGAAAAATCTTTTTTTCTCCCGTATTATCAAAATTTGACAATAATATTTATATTATAGAAATATTTTTATTATTTATACTACAAAGTGATATATGTATGTATATTTTATTTCTATTTTGTTGCTGTTATTGTTACTTTATAACCTAATATTTTCTTTACACTAGTATAAGGTTCTGACAATAAGATCTTATTTCATCACTGATCTTCTTTCAGATACCTAGTTTTTCAAATGTTAGTTGTATTTGCTTACTTTATAATTTGTATTAATTTTTTAATTACTCATTTTATTGTAAAAACGAACTAACAAATGTAAACTAAAATATTAAAATATATATATATATATATATATATATATATGTATATATATATATATATATATATATATATATATATATATATATATATATATATATATATATATATATATATATATATATATATATATGTATATATATATATATATATATATATATATATTTATATATATATATTTATATATATATATATATCAATTTGGGCTTGGTTATCCAGTAGATATTATTTACTTGGACTTTGTGAAGGCTTTCGATACAGTACCTCATCGCAGATTGATACATAAAATAAAAAGGTATGGGTACTAGTAAGCTGCTAAAATGGCTAATAAGGTGAAGTAGTTTCTGAGTGGAGATTTATTGCAGGCGGCGTGCCACACGGATCGGTAATTAAGAAGATTTTTTTTGTAATATAAATTAACGACCTAGCAGAACATTTTGACTGTAACTCAAAACTTTATGCAGATGATACAAAGTTAATTAGTCAGGTCAAAGATAGATATGATGCTGAGTTATTGCAATTAGATTTAAAGAAAGCTGTTGAACGGTCAAAGGTACGGCTTGTAAAATTTGCTGATAAATATGTAGTTATGCATTTAGGTAAAAAAAATATTAAGTATGAATACTTTATAGATGGGAAATCACTAAGAAAAACAAACTTAGAAAGAGATCTTGGGATTTTATTTTCTTCAAACTTGAAATGGAAAGATCGTGTAATGGCTTGTATCTCAAAAGCAAATAAAATGATGGGGTTGGTAAAAAATACTTTTTCTAAAATTGACGTGCATATGATTAGGCTTTTATATACAACATTTGTTTGGTCCCATATTGAACTTGCACCGTTCGATCTCCTTTCCTTCGAAGGTGAAATTGAAGCTTTAGAAAGAGTCTCTACTAGAATTGTTTCTACTACATCGCTCTACTAGAATTGTTTCTTTGTTGAGGAATTAGACGAAAAGTTGAAATGTCTAAATATTACAGATCTTTATAGGCGAAGATTGAGAGGTGATTTAATCCAAGTTAAAAATGGTTTGGAAGAAGTTAAACTTATAAATAAATTTGAGTCGAAAAAATTCCAGTCTAATAGATGAATAATAACTGTAA